CCCAATGAGAAGAGTAAATATAGTTAAAAAAGCTGAGAGAAATCAAGCAACATGGGGGAGAAAATCTGCATCACAGATACACAGTCAAATATATAGTAGGAACAGAAGATAAAAAATGTAAAGAGTAACAGTTAAGTTACCAGAACTACATCTGATACGGTAGATTAATTTGAGGGTTTTCCCACACAGACTCCCACGTGCACACCCTCCTATGTTTATGGACAGCGGGTCTTCCTCCTCCTGTTTCCTCCGTCTTCCAGACTGCCAACCTCCTGCTGCTCACTCGTAAACTCACATAATATGTTTAGCATGCCCCGCCATCATCTCACTACCGCTGCTCAAGGCCGCTCGCTGTTCTCATATCAGCACGATGAGGTCTGTAAGGCCATCACAGGATACATGACACTGATATAAAGTATGTGTGCTGAAATGTCGGCAAAGCCAGGTGGTTTCTGATTTCATTACTGACTATTATCGTAGATTTTGATGCTACATCTCCTGTTGTTTATTCTTTCTCAAATGTTCTGTGACTGAAACTATCAGCCAGTTGACTTGAACCTTGACATAACGCATTTGCTTATAGAAACATGCTACAGGAAAAAGGTCCGTCCTCTCACATGTCATTTTAAAAGTCCAGATAGAAATAATCCAATGAAATCAAGGCAGAGAGAGAGGAGTTGAATGAAAGTATGAATGAATCTGAAAATAAAGGAGGTCTCATTTTAGACAGAAAGACAGAAAATCTATCTTAGGGTTTGGAAAATGTATGATTTAAATCAGTGATTCTCAACGGGTGGATACGGACCCAAAAGTGGGTCGCGGCGCTGTTTTAAGTGGGTCGCAAGCAAAACCTGCATATTGTCAAAGTTTGTAGAGCGCTTTTTGAAACATGTTTGTTTTGTTCAGTTTATTTTTTTCTTCCATCAGATGTTTGGCATCATCTGAGCTACAAAAAATTTGACGGAAGCTGCAAACTGCACATTTTTGAATCAATTAAATCTGGTTGGTTGATCAATATCTGACATTTGAGTTAGTAGTGGGTCCTGAGGCTTGATGAGTTGAGAACCACTGAATTAAATAGTATAATGTACATTTGTAGGTTGTGTAACCAGTATGTGTAGGCAACCAAAGTAAGTACACTTCAACACTAACATACAAAACAAAACTTAAAAATAAGTCAACTTCTCAAAACGTCATCTTTGACATTTTGGTCTGCCAGGGTAGTCAACTGGTCATACTGGTCAGTGGACCCATGCGTTCTCTCTGACCACAACCCAAGCAGCTTTTGCTCCCTTCATAATATTTCCTCTGACCTCTGCCAGTGAGTCTCTGGTTCTTTGTGGTTCAACTCTGCCGATGAGATTTTTTGCCTTCAGATGAGCTCTGCTTTGCAAGGTTGGACTAAAGTTCCAATCTGAGCGTAAATGAAATTCAATCTGCTGCGTTCACTCATACACATGCCAGCTGGAGTCAGGGACAGTCAGGATGACAAATAGCCTTCCCATTAAACTAAACCCCCTGAAGAAAGCCTTAGAGAATACATCTCGTAGAATATATAACGCTTAAACGCAGGAGAGCAATCAAAAAATGGGCCTCTTTCCCTCTGCCTCTCTCTCCATCTCCTCTTATCATTTTATTTGCCAAACCTCGTTGGATGCTTACTTTCCATAGATCAAATCCGGCGTGACGCTGGGAAACGGTTCAATTCCAGATCAGCTCGTTGTTACAACGAATAATGATCTGATCGGGTTATGGGTGCAGTATGACACCCGTGTATAAGTTGCTCCATGTGCTGTATGTGAAGATCACCTTTGTGTGTGGGTTGATTTATGGTGAGATGTTCAACAAAGCCAACTGTTTCTTCTGAAACTCCTTATTCCTGTATGTCTTTACCTTTCAGTGTGACGCTGTGAGAGGACTTACTCTCTAGCTAGGTGATACTGTGTTGTATTTGCAAATAACTACTAAGGTACTTCTCTGGAGAACAAGATGGCGGGCTTTGTCACAAAACATACCTCAATGACCATCAGAAAGCACATTAGAGAGAATTTAAAAAAAAAAGAGTTTGCATGATTTTAGTGTGTTTTTTTTTTTTATCTTACATACTTTATATAATCCCTGAGGGAAGTTCTGTTTTTTTTAGACTCTGTTATTGAGAGACATGCTTCTCTCACACATAGACACAGACATGCACAAACAGGACCTGTGGACATGCACTAGTGGGATGTTTGGGGGTTTGGTGCCTTGCTCAAGTGCACTTCAGCAGTTCTCTGCCCTGGCACCTGTCCAGCTACCAGACCAACATCCATATATGGTCCGCATCGGGATTTGACTCGACGACCCTCCGGTTCCTAACTCAAGTCCCTAAGGACTGAGCTGCTGCTGCCTAGCATATCATACACTAATAGATTACTCTCTTTTGTGGCAGGTAGCTAGGTAGTTTAATAGTAAATGTATATATATATATATATATACATATGTTAAATATCTTGTGTTTTTTACTTCAGTATAACCATAGTTTCCTGCCAGCTGAAATTAATGCAAACTTTCCAATCAGAGTCAGAATCACGTTTATTGCCAAGTAGATATACACATACAAGTATTTTGTCTTAGTGTTGAATTTGTTTTTAAATGAATTCCTCGTCATGATTTCTGTTTTCTGATAATCTATTACAAACCTTTGTAACATGAATGTATAAGAGTGTTCTACACATAATGATTATTTATCACTATTAAATTATTTCCTGGGTTTGCTAAGTCTGAAAATTTAAGAAATCTTTTATTTTTAGCAGCAACTTTTGGCATTTTACATTCCTGAGCAATAAAAAAGTTCCTCAAACGGTCTGAGACAGTTAGTACAATCCTGTTTGACAAATGTTTTAGTCGTTCAGCAGGCATGTTATTGTAACTTTTTTCATGAATTCTTGTTATATGCATGGGAAAAAAAGATGATTCAGGAACAATCTTTCAATCTTTCAACAATGTTCATTTTTGTCATCTGAAGTAGGAAACTAGCTGTCTTTGTTCTGCTTTGAGAAGACTAAAAGAAGCACCAAGAAAACTTTAGTGGTGAAATAACCCTCACGAGGGGGCTCAGCATCCTCTTTCCATTCATCAACCTCCACCTCCGTAGTTCATCACAGACAGACAGGGCAGTTTGTGGCCCAGTGGGGTCAGAGATATACAGCCCTGAGTGTCCACATAGGCAGCCAGTTTCCTCCTCTGACATACACACAGGCCTTGGGGGGGCGGACAAAACTCTGGAGACTTTCACACAGGAGCATGAGGAGGGAGTACTAGTTTAATGTACCAGAGCAAACACTGAGCTTTGATATGCACAGAAACATTTAAAGGATTAAATAAATGTTTATCATAGCTTATCAAATGTAATGATATCTTGTTCTTTATGTGTCTGCATAGGTTCTCTTCAGGTACTACGGTCTACCCCACAGTCCAGGGATATATAAGGTTAGAAAATTAATTAATTCTTTATTGTCTTAAAGCAGGGCCATCAACCCCGTCCCATATATAAATAGTGGTAGGAGCCGCCATTACATCACCAGCTGTTTATCTGAGGCTTGTTTTTGAGAAGTTTAAGTTTAGCATTTTGTCAGGTGGGTCTTATTTTTTGAGTAAGATGTCACCTTATTGGAATGAGATCTTTAAAAAAAAGCTGCAAAACCTGTAAAATGTTTAACTGTTAATCCTTAACCACACATTATCCATGTATGTATGGTTTATCAGAATCATTTGTAAGTTTTAATTAGCAAAATTTTTGTTTTGGTGTCAATACAGGTCTGTTTAAACAGATGTTGCACACACACAAACACACACACACACACACACACACACACACACACACACACACACATATATACATACATGATGATGATATATACATGATGAATCATCATCATGAGGTTGACACAATAGAATCATTAGATCAACATTTATATAAGTAATTAATCATTTAAAAAGTAGCATCTTTTTCTCATAGTATTCTCTACATTTTGACTTCTGTGTATAACTAGTGGCTTTGCCACCTGCAGGCCATTTGAAGTATTACAAGGTTAGGACACCTTCACATTTAATACATCCACATTTAATATGGAAACCTTGGTCTTGATGGTTATTTTTTATGAAAAATATGCATAGAGAAGACACAGACTCTTGGATTTCATCAATTTATTTTCCACTTTAATTGTTACTAGTTATTATTTTACAGCAGTAAATTACTTCAGAGAATTACCAAACAAAGGAAGGTTTGTTCTACAGTCACTGGTTAAAATGTTGATACATCATAATGGAGCCGTTTCCACACTTCAGTATTTTAAGACTTTGGAGTTTTTGCAGGAGATATGCATCAGGGTGGTGGGGCCTAAGGTGCTTTATGGGCTTGATGAATGGTTTTGCATAAAATACTAAATATATCTGTTGTAAGTGAATGACAAACACAATTTGATTCTCCATTTAGGCAAGGTTACATTGTCATGTAATAGCTTCATTTGTTCCCCATTAATGAGAGGATTTCAATAAATTAGAGAGATAATACTTTGAAAGGTACTTTGACTTCTCTTTCAAAACACCCCACACACCTGTCATTCCACATATACAGTCTGGGATCCCTGTAATGTTTTTGGATTTTTTTTTTTCTCCAGTTACCATTTCTTTTTTATATTTTTTTGTCAAAGCATATAAAGACAGACATGTAATAACACTTATAGCTTTTATTTGACAATTTGGAGGTTTAGTAATTTTAAACAATAACAAATAGATCTACTGAATCTTCAAAAGACAGACCATTCTCCCAACTATTTCTCCAGGAGTGATACACAGGTAGGGCTACAGTTACAGGCATACAAAGATCTCACAGCAGTGATGAGCTGACCCCTGTCCTCCACCAGAAAAGTAAAATCAATGAGCAAATACAGTACCCCTCAAAAAGTATTCTACCCAAAGGCCTGAGGCAAGTACTCTGCATTAAGCACATGAATGCCTCCTTAGGTCCTGAGCCTTTTGTAAAACACAGCTGAAACACTAAGGGCAATAATGCAAGCAAAGGCAAGGATGCCAACAGCAACTCCAAGCCCAACGGCAGAGTCCTCTTCTTCCTCAGCAACAAGGGGCTTTTCTTTAGATTCATTGGTGTCAGCTTTGGTGATGATCTCCGTAGAGGTGATGGTGTACGTCTTGCTTATGCCATCGACAGATGTGTCCAGGGAGCTCCTCTTCCGTCTTTTGCTGCACTGCTTGAAGGTGCTGCAGGTGCTGATTTCACACAGCCGGGTGATGCAGTGGAGGTAGTAGGTGGACACGGTCTCGTTCTGCTGCTCGATGAAACGGAAGGCCGGGAAGCGGAATCTGGCACTCTGGCTGTCGCCGTTCTCGACCATGGTGGTGAAACGATCTTTTGAGCAGGGGACAAAGAGGTTGAAGTAGCTGGAGTTGGTAGGCAGTGCGGAGACAGAGGCATAGCACCGGTCAAGGAGGACGTTGTACTGCCCGGTCAAGTTGGTGGCCTTGACTTCGACATACACGTTGGTCCTCAGCTCAATCCCCAGCTGTGGAATGGCCATTGGTCTGGTATAGTTGGCATCCTTGAAGAGCTCCATGCTTAAGGTGCTGATGAAACTCCCATTGTTGTCCTTGATTGCAATGGAGGAGGCTGACACATCAATCTGGGTGTTGTTGATCAGGTATTCAAGGGGATAGGCACAGGAGTAGTAGTACTTCAGCTCAGCATTGTAAGTGATCGCACCTGTTGTAGGATCGACAGAGCGAATAACACCACTGATGTTCACTGTCTGAACGTTGGAAAAGTCTGAGAATATACCCGTCCCAGCAGCACTGCTGGTCCTGAATGTGCTTCCACAGGCATGGGTCATATTGAGAGGGAAGTTAAAGCGAGCAACAGGCGGACTCACAGACTCATCAAGGGTTGCTCTACAGGGCAGGTCCAACATATGGTTCAGGATCAGAAGAGTATCATTGTAGCCAGTGTAGATGACCGGGCAGATCTGAATGGCCAGACCAATGGATGCAGTGCCACACTGCACCGCGATGTCGCTCACCTGTGGCCGCCTTGCTTCTGTGCCACAGTCACTCAGCGTAAGTTGAGTACTTCTCGCTATAATGGATAGTAAAATTAAAATGATCTTCATGGTATTTCTTCAGCTTTGCCGTAGATGTATTAACTTCTCTGCAAAAAAAATCTTAACTCTGCTCTCTGTACTGCTGCTGCTGAGGTTTGGTAGATCTTCTCAGTTTGTTTGAAGTCTTCGGGCTGGATTTAGGGGTCTTTATAGGTATTTGTGTCCTCTGGGATTGGTCCAAAAGAAGGTCAAGCACCTCATTATTTGTGAACAACTGCATTGTATTAAGTATGAGAGCTCTAGACTGGACCATATCCTAAGGGCAGCAACTGAAACTCGAAGCATCTTTCAGTCTTGAAATACAGGGACAATGGCTGTGTTCCTTTGTTGAGTTTGCTTTAAAATATAGTCTTCCATGTCCATATCAAGTAAGTGAACATAACACTACATAGTATGGATTCTGCATAATACACACAATACTTTGAAGGATTTTCTGTCCGGTTGGAGCCCTAGCAGCTCCAGTAATGACCTACTTAAGATTCAAGAAGCAAGGTACTGACCCACTGGGGGATCCAGTCCAGGATTCTCTGAACAATTCTTGCATTTCCTTGACATAAATAACCGTTATCAAAAACAACATGGAAAGGAATGGACCTTCATAGTAATGCTATGTTGTCTGTATTAAATTGTGACATTTGAGTTGTTTATTAATGCACAATGAGATGGTTGTTAAATGAAAAGGGACGAGAACAAATTAGTTTGATGTGCTTTTTTGAACATGCATACAGAAAAGGATAAAACGAAAGACATCCACACTGGAAGAACACAAATCTGTATTGGGTATTGGTCTAAATTCTTGTAAATTTTTTTTTTAATTTGTCACATTCACCTGACAAGTTCAGATATTGATCTTATTTCAAGATATATAAAGCAGGAAATGAGGCCTGAATCGATAGTTAAAAGTAAAAAAAAAAATCTGCCAATGCAGCAAGCACATTTTACTTGAGGGTCTTGAAATGAGATGTACAAAATACTTAGATATAGACACCTAATTTCTTCATTAACACATCTTGGTAGTATTCTTTTTTTTTGTTGTTTAAGGTTTGTTTTTGGGCTTTCTATGCTTTTATTTACCCAGCTGATAGAGTCAGAAATTGGGGAGAGAGAGAGTATGGAACCACATGCAGGAAAGGAGCCACAGGTCGGATTTGAACCCGGGCCGCCCAATTGGAGGACTATGGCATTCGTACAACCACGAGACAACCAGCACCCCAGACTTTAATTTCTGACTAGTCACTGTATCAAGTCTTTTGCTTCCTGACAAGTACTCCATACAAAGAAAAAGATTAAATGTCTCATAATTTTAAGACGTATACTCACCTTTATTGACAGGATGCAGCTAATCATGGAACTCTTAAACATTCAGTGATATTAGGTGGTTGATTGTCCTCTTTCATTTTTAACTCAAAGCATTAAAAGAACACTTATGAATCCACCTTAAAGTGGGTTCCTCCAATCTTTTAAGGGGGATACAATCTCAGCAAATTAGTGCTTATTGTCCTAATAGTAATTTATCATTTAGTTTCAAAGGGTTAAAGGCAGATTTAGGGAGGTGCATTAACCTATTATGTTGTTTTTAAACACATGTTGGTCAACTTTTGTCGCCAGCGTATATTCAGAGACTGAAGTGATGAAAGGGCAAGCTGATCCTGCAGTGTATCATTAAGGTAACAGAATCCAAGCAGTGTCAGCAGAGACAAAGGAAGCAGCTCTTTACTTGAACTATGACAAGGACCAGGCTAGGCTTAAATAGCACTGCAGTGAATTATAAACAGCCTACATTGAAGTAGTTCATTGAAGAAACTTACATAAACAAACCTGAGTACAATTAGACAGACAGAGATAACACACAAAGGGAAACACACTTTGTAAACATTTTCTAATCTTATAAAGCTGAAGGTTTTAATGCAGTCAGCGTAGATAGTGATTATTTTTGACAATGGCACTACAAACATGTGCGTCCTGTATTCTGGCCACTCTTTTCCATTTTAAGTCCACTGATATTGATGAAAAATGTGTCTAGTTTCCTAATTGGCCGTTTTAGGCATTAATCAGGTGATGGATAGTAAATATAGGACTATCTTTCAAAACATGGGACAAACAAACCCATGGCTGTGTCAAACATTATAACAACAATATTATACAGACCTCCAGATTATCTATTAAATATCATTTTCAACATGGAAATTACTCACTCGATACTATCTTGTAAAAATTACTTTTTGTGACAGCAGACGAGGAACACAAAGGCAATAATTAATTTTCAGATTTGAGTAATATTACAATACATTTTAAGAACGGCTCATATGATATTACATTATATATTTGATTGAGATAAACATAAGTAATGAAATATATGTTTTTACAAGACAATTATTAATAGATCAAATATATATTGACACAATTTTAAGATTCATTTTTAATTTAGTTTATGATAAAAGAAAATCGGGTATATTTGGGGTGTGATTGAATAAGTTTGTATTTGTTCCCACTCCTATTTTGTGAAAGTGTCTTCAGCATAATAAGTTTCATCACTTGTAAATATGACTTTATCTCTCTGCTGGTTTGTAGGATCATTTCCCATTTACTGCATGTTCAAAATGATCATTTCAAATCATAGATAGATAGATAGATAGATAGATAGATAGATCAATAGATAGATACAGTAGATGCAGTGCATTGAAAATGTTACTCATCACTTGTTACATATGAGGACATCGATCATTTTGACCTTTTTGAAAGGTCCCCCCTGTCATAGCACACCTTCTACCTTTATGTAAGTACAGTAGACACTGAAAGGATATAAAAGGATATAAGAGTGATACACACCACGCCCTGGAAACTGACCTAGTACAGTGACTCCAACCCAGGCCCCTGGCTGCATGACATTCCCTCTCCCCATCTTTCTGTGTACTCGTATTTAATGTAAAGCTATGTTATGGAATCAAGGCAAAAGTTTTTTTACCAAGACAATATCTTTAAAAAGAAGTATGAAAGAATGTGTTGGAGGTTAAGTTACATAAGCTACTCATATTAAGCTCAATATCCAATAAAGTATTTTTATTAGGACGTAGACCTTTAGGGTCAGATCGATATGCTTGGCACCCCCAACAGAAGGGGACCAAAAACAGACAATACGGATCAGTTATTATGGTACCCTTCCAAACTGAACCTGACCACTTGGTAGATACAGGGCTTAAGAGTACTACCTGGACAGATGTTATAGTAAAGTGTCTTGAGATAACATTCGTATGATTGGTGTTGTTAAAAAAAAAAAACATTGATTGAGATATAGTCTCTAAAGATTTAGGATTTAAAAATATTTTTAAAAATGACCTAAGCTTTTTTGTAGATGAATGCAGATATGTTTGAATGAAAACTTCGAATTTTGTATTTCTTGCACACGGATCACTGTCCCGTTAGATCCCTTGTTGTCCTTTATGGATAAGAAATGCAAGGAAGGCTGACAGATTCAGACTTTGTCCTGTTGTGAATTTATAAAAAACCAGAGTTGGATTTGGGGGCGAGGGTGGGTCACCTGCTCTCCTGCTCACCTCTCATCTCTGCTCTAGCTTTGTGATTAACGGTCAGAATGTAGCAGAGGCTCTGTGGTGTTGAGGAGAAGCAGGAGCAGAAACATGGAGTGAGAAAAAACAAGGTGGGAATATAGTTTTCCAGGGAAAAAACAACCTTGGGTCGCAGTTTTACTACACAGGCTGTAACAAAACGGCTCTCTGTTATGATTGGGCCTTATGGGTTATTTTGTCTGGCGGCGAGGAGCAGTTAGGTGATGATAGCTTTCAAGACAGAGGATGTGAAGTGCCCTTCTGTCAGTTGTACTGTGCAGGGAATACAAGCTGAGTGTTAATCTGTTGCTCTGACCAAAGCTTCTATTGTTTTAAGATGTAGTCAGAGCTATTACGGGATGCAGGTCGGCCCCTAACGGTCATAACCGACTAGCAAGTGTGGCATTATGTCCTCATGCAGCAAAGGGCCACGAACAAAAGAAAACCCAGACAGCGTGGTCAGAACTCAGCCTAAGTACAGTAAATAGTATGGGTTCAACGAGAGCCGCTTACAGACTTGTTCTGCACCCCTAAGCATGTCTGCTACATGTGATAGTCTAAATGTACTGAACATTAAATGGACTTAACCTGTAAGCCCCTTCGTACAAAATAGATTTAGTCACAGAGTGAGCAGGTGTGTGATCACAACAGGTAATGTCCCAAGTATTAACTGCAAGTGAGCGTGTTTTGATGCAATGTATGTATAAGTTGCATGCAGTGCAGATGCTACTCTTTCCTGTCAGTCTGAATGCGTCTTTTTCAGCTCTTGATTATATTAAAGATACAAATAAATACTTTTAGCATTTAATCAGCCCCAAAACCGTTATTATTGGAGGCAAGTCCTCCTACACCTCCTTCTGTAAACAGTACCAAGGCGTTACCCCTTACCAAAACTGAACTGAGTTATAGTGAAAATCCTTCAGTTGAGCCACGAGTGAGCAACCAAACTTGAATTTCAAGTTTGATCTTTAACAATTTTAACGCCTTAAGAAAAAAAAAAATCCCCACAAGTCTTTTGTAAGTAAAGATGGTCAAGTCAAGTTTCAAATCTTCTTGTGTGTGTGTGTGTGTATGTGTGCGTGTGTGAGTGTGTGTGTGTGTGTGTGTGTGTGTGTGTGTGTGACAAAGATCCACATCGATAGCGCTGGTGAAAATGTGTTTTTATTTGTATCTTCTCTGTGTTGGTCTGTGCCATGGTAAATTCTCCCTCAATGGGTTTGTCTAAGGATTGAAATAAATGTTGATAATGACATAAAAGAGAGTCAATACAATGAGAATTTGCCTTCCACTTGGATAAAATGATAATAAAACAATTCAGCAAGAACAACAAACTACAAGCCCTCAATTCCAAAGTAGTGGTATTTCTGTCAAAGGTCTGATGTATTAAAGCCCACATACCACACCCCTTCTCCCAATGCATGGCTCTGTGCTAATTGAAAGCTC